TACTTTCGTTCCCCCTCTCAGGCGGCGTCGTCGTCGCCGCCGACGCCGCCGTAGTCGTCGTCGTCGTTGTCGTCGTCGTCGTCGTCGTCTTGTTCTTCGTCGTTCTTGTCTTCGTCGTCATCGTCGTTGTCGTCGTCGTCGTCGGCTACACCGTGCCTGCGCAGCAACCCCCCCATAGGGCATCCGCAGTGTGTCGTCGTCGTCACCGCCGTCGCCGTCAGCCGTCCGCTGTCCGTCGTTCTCGTCATCGTTCCGTCGTCGTCGTCGTCGTCGTCGACGAAGAGAGCGGCCGCTGGAAACGTGCGCAAGCAGGGGGGGGGGGTGACGGCGGCGACGACGGCGACAGAAGGGGGGAGGAGGACTACCCGCCTTGCCCGGGTCGGACGAAAGGCTGGGGAAGGAAAGGAGGGGGTTGCAAAGCTTGCTGCGCGCAGCTGGTTTCGGCCGCCCCGCCGAAGAGCCAGTCCTCGACGCATGGCCGCCGCTTTCGGCGCCAGGAGGCGCTTGGAAAATCGGCGACGTCAGCTGCTTGGCAAATCCCCCTTTGCTGCGCCCAGCTTTCGTCCAGCCCGCCTTGCCCGCAGGCCCGCATCGGCTCGACAAAGAGAGAGGGGCGCCCCGGCTTGCCCTTGCCTCCAAACAGCCCCCCCTTGCCCCTCGTTGGCGGCCGGGCGTCGGCGCTAATCACAGGCGCCGCCCCGTTGATTTTCAATCTGGCGGGTGCCACCCCGCGATTCGCCCGAGCAGGGGATTTGTTTTTTAACACACGCCCCCGTCGGATTTGTTAATCACAAGCTGACAATGGAGGCGGAGGACGGGGTGACGGAGGGAGGTGGGCAAGGAGAGGAAGTTGCGGAGGAGAAAACCGGAGGAGAGGGATAATGACAACGAGGAATGAGGGAATGGTTTGAGAAATGTGAAAATGGGGGGGGGAAACGGGGAGGAGGATAATGAAAAGATAACGCAGTGGGGTAACGGTGGGGGTCCCATAAGCCTTCGCGAGCGCATCGGATATGGAGGCTTCAGTAAGTAGTTGAAAGAGTGTGGCCAGCGACCCCTGAAGTTGCGCGTGTACAGATTTAGTACACGAGTGCTCATGGGCGCGGCCCAGAGGCGAGAGGAGGAGCTCTCGGGCGACCGGGGACGGCACGGGAACGGAAAGAGCGATTCAAGAATTTGCCCGAGATGGCTCGTGGCACCCTTCGCTCTTGGGAGCCTTGGTGTTAAGAGTTTGTTTCACGCGCGTGTGACAGAGCGGCGGCATTCCCAGGGAAGGTGCGACCAAAACGATCTCAATCATTTTGCACAGTGGTGCTTGATCCCATGTTCGCGCATGTATCGCGGGCGGCCCTGGGATGCATCAAGACAATCACGTGCACGTTATCTAATGGCAATTATTCCTTGGAGCGTGCAGCCAAACGATCTGGAATATCGTGTAGAGGCGTTTTTTCCTCCCACTGGCGCGCATGTATCGCAGACGGCCCCGGGAAGCATGAAGGCGGTCACGTGCATTTGCTTTAGTGGCGGGTTTCCCCTGGAGGGTGCAGCCAACACGATTTCAGTCAGCTTGTAGATTGGCGTCATGGTGGCGATTACGCGCATTTTATATAGTATTGTTTTTCCCGTGGGGTGTGCAGCCAAAGTGATCTGAATCATATCGTATGGTGTTTTTCCATTTGTGCGCGGATATATCGCGGTGCTCTGGGATGCAGCAGAACGATCAAGGGGACGACAGACACTTGCCTGATATGGCTCTTGGCACCGTTCGCTCTTGGGAGCCTTGGTGTTACGATGTGTACGCCAATGCTCACACTTGGCAACCTTTGTGTGAAGAGTTTGTCACGTCACTGTGGGCTCCCATAAGAAGTGGTGTACAGAGATTTGTACGTCACCGCTCGCTCTTGGGAGTGTGGGTGTTCACAGCCTATCACGTTATCACAGGCTATTGGAAGTTTTGGTGTTCAAAGCTTTTCACAGCACGTGTCGCCCTTCGAAGCCTTGGTGTTCAGAGCGTTTAGCGGAACCGATCGCTCTTGGGAGCCTTGGTGTGACGAGCTTGTCTTGTGGGCCGTGGTGTTCAGAGCTTGTTACGTCACCGTTCGCTCTTGGGAGCCTTGGTGCTGAGAGTTGCTTACCTCACTGGTCGCTCTGGGAAGCCCTGGTGTTACGAGCTTGTCACGTCAATGTGAGCGCTTGGGGGCCTCTGTTACTTGGCGTCTCTGGGCCTTCCGTTGGGCTCCTGTTGGGCCCTCGTAGGGCCTCTGGGGCCGTCGTCGGCATTTCACTGGGGCCTCTCAGGGCCCGCTTGGGAGCCTTATAGGGGCGCTCTCGCGGGAGCCTCAATGGCCTTCTTGGGCAGTCTTGGAGCCTTCTGGGGCCGTCTGAGGGCCGTCTTGGGGCGTCTTGGGGCTCTCTGGGAGGCCTCTTGGGCTGTCTGGGAAGAATCTTGGAGGCCCTTTGAGCCCTCCGTGGCCGTCGGGTGCCCGAAAAGGCGAGAGTTCGAAACATCTATAACACAAAACAATTTGAAAGTCGCTGTTTACGAGCTGCTCAAGCTGCCTCGGGGGTCCTCTTGGTTGGGGCCCTCTTGGGGCCGTCTTGGGTCCTTTTCGGGGCCTCCTATGCCACTCGTGGGCTTTCCTGGGGGTTGGGCCCTCTTGGAACCCTCTTGGAACCCTCTCGGGGTTCTCTGTGGCCGTCCTGGGGGCCTCTCGGGCCGTATTGAAGCCTTCTGGGGCCGCCTTGCGGCAGTCGCGGTGGGCCCTCGGAGCCGTCTTTGGCCGGTCTTGGCCCGATGGAGAACCTATGGAAAGCCAATGTGTGTTGCCTCCTCGGGCCGTCTGAGGGGTCCTGTGGAGAGGCTCGTAGACGCGCTATTCTAAAGCATCTAGAGTTGGGAAGAACGAATTCATCAGGAGCGATAGTCTAAAGTATCTCGACGCCTGCGATCGGTCTGCTGCCTGAGCTGCGACCACCAGAACTATTTGAACTCTTCCGATGTTTAAGAGAAGTTGCTGGTTTTCTTTACTTCATTCGCCGTCTCGGGAGCTTCTTGGGCCATCTTGAGGAGCCCCGGGCCGTCTTCGGGCCCTCTCCGGGCCCTCCGTGGCCCTCGCAGTGGCCTGCGATGGCCCTCGGGGGCTTTCTTGGGGATATCAGCTCTGGTAGCAGACCGATCTCAGGCATCTAGATACTTCAGACCAGTGCTGCTGATGATTGACACGTAGAGCTTCCCTAAGAGCGAAGCAGCGGCGAAGCTAGAGAGTAATTCCGGCCTTCGCGGGCAGTCTCAGGGCCCGTTTCTGGGCCGCTGGGGCCGTCTGGGGACGATCTTGGGAGCCTCTGGAGCCGTCTTGGGCCGCCCTTGGTCCAAAAACAGGAATAGAGACCTTCGAACACATATGAAACCAACAATGCATGTTGCTTCTTTGGGCCATCCTGGGAAGCCTCTTGGAGGCGTCATTTTAACGCCTGGTTGCGCGCCCCACCCCCCTGCTCTGTAGAGGGTTTCGCCCTCCTGGACGTCCTCACTCGTACCTCGCTCTTTCCGTGATCGGCAATGCACCTGACTTAGATGAGTTTGCTCCAATCCACTTCTTGGGCGGAGTGCTAGACATGCGCGGAAGTGGACTCGAGCAGAACCATGATTCATTGACAATGTATTTTCGGCTGCCGTACGCCTGTCAGATTGTTTAGGAGTCCACGGCTCCTTTTGGACTAGTCATACCCCCACATTGCACGGGTCCTCCCTCGGCAGGGTTCAGTAGGCCCCGTCTGTTTCGCCCTCCGACCGCTCGCCGGATCTTGGAAGCGAGCTCCGCGGTCGAAGTGCGCCCCCCGTTGTTCGCCCTGCGCGTGTCCTCCCGCGGTCCGCCGCCTCGTCGCGGCCGTTGCGCTGCAGCCGCACGCGGCGCCGGCTCCCTCCTCGCCCCGTCGCCTCCGCCCGCCTCTCTGCTAGGGGGCCACATGCGAACCCTACCCCTACCCCCCACGACTTCTGAGGGGGAGGGTGGGGTTCACTTCGTCTGGGAGCTCCCGAGCGAAGTGAACCCCAAACCTCCCCCTCAGAAGTCGTGGGGGGCAGGGGTAGGCTTCGCATGTGGCCCCCTCTCTTTTCCCCCCCTCACTTCGCGCCAGCCCGCCATGTTGGGGGCTCGCCGCGGGCTGCCCCACGACATCCTGGCGCTGCGCAGCACCGGCACCTCGGGGCACCCCTGAGGCAGGCGGAGTGGCACGCTCGCCCGTGGCAGGACACCGCGTTAACGTAAGCTCATCGTCAGCCTGGCAGTCGTTTGCACTCCCCTGCGCCTGGCCTTGCCCGACCGCGTTCGACATGGCCGGAGCACAGCGTGCCTTCTGCACCTTTGATGCCACCTGATCTCCCTTGAGGCTTGCTAGGTCGAGCGCACGCCCTTGCGCCCCTGGCGAGACCGCACTGCGCAGCCGCCGATTCTGGTCAGTCCCGAATGGCCCACCCTTCGCACGACTCCCTCGGGAGCCTGGTGCCGCCAGCATTGCCTTTTTACATGGTCTGAGCGAGCGGTCCGCGGTCGCTCCGCCCAGCCGCCGCAATATTCGCTGCTTGCGCCTCCCGTGCTCAGTTCGCGTTTCCGCGTCCTAGGTTTGCCGCTCCAACCGCGCTGAGAGACCGCCAGCGTTGCGACTTGAAAGTGTCCACAGGCAAACCCGCCCTGGAAATCTGAACGGTGATGTGGAAGGAATGTGCTCGACCACAGCAAGAGGAGGATCAGGCGAAGGCGGAAGCAGGAGGATGAACTGCGCCTCCACCCTGAGTCGGCAAGGTTCGAAGGCGCGCTTTGGAGACCCGTTCCCGTCAGTTGGGAAAGCAGGTTCCCTGGCGGTGGCGGAGGGTTCCGCCTCGTCACCCTTTGGGGGGGGGGGCCTCATCCTGCTCCAAAGAGAAGGTTGGGCGGGGGACGAGGGAACGATGGAAGGGGTGGTTGGGGCCCCAAAACAGCGATTTTGACCTTCTGCCGGAGGCTTGCACGCGACGAAGCGGAGGCCCTCGAGCTTCTATCGGCAGCCCGCGGAGGGGGGTCGACAACCAGTGGACGTGGACGCGGCACAGACCACGATCGAGAGGGAGGCGCCGACCATGCCCGATGCCACGCTTGCAGTGGATGCAGGAAGAGGACCGTAGCATGGATGAGGATGGGGATAGCACGACGGAGAGGGGCTGTCACAATTTGAGCCCCCATGGCCAGCGTATTGCTTGTAGCGAGTGTGTAAGTATGTTGCTCCACCATGCATCCTCGACGGCACAGTCGAGCCACGCCTGCCTGTACTTGTTTTATGAGTTTGTGCACTTGCCATGCCTGGACGAGTGCGCTTGCTTCTTGTACTGGACGGTTATGCGCACGCGCTTGCGTGTTTGTCCATTCTTTGGTAGATTTCGTCGGTGGTCGTGCCGTTGAATTTCTGATTTGCTTCACCTCAAAGGGCATGATTTCAGTCGTGCGGTTTTTCGTCGGTCGTCGTTCGTGGTGTTTCGCCTCTGCGTGTTCGCCTGCATTGCTATGATCGGTCGTGTGTGCTCGCCGTCGCGCTCGCGGTTGTACGCGAGACTATGTCTAAGTATTCACGAGGCTTACGCCCTTCCGCCGACCCCCAGAAGTGGGCAGAAGTCCACGGGTGAGGTTTTCGGGGGCCTCTTGGGAAACCTCTGGGGGCTTTCTCGGGGCATCTCGGAGGCCACCTCTTCTGGACTGTTGGGCGTGTCTTGCGGCGTAGCAGGAGCACATCACCAGGGAACAGCGAACACGCCATCGGAAGAAGTGGAGCAGGACGGTGTGAATGGACGGCACAGAGGAAGGTTTTATGGCGAGATCTTGAGAGCCCCTCGGATGTTCGGGCCCACGTGGTATGAGGCTACCTCGGAGCGCTTCTCCTGGGCGCGACAGCATTTTCGCTCTCATCGCTCGGCAAGGGAAGTTGAAGCGCACATCATGTCGCACCTTATGAAATCGATGTGAACGCGATGCAGGGCGGTGGCGTCTAACTCTGGCAAGGCGGAGGAAAGAAGGGAAGCGCACACCATGCCGCACCGTGTGAAATGGATGTGTACGCGATGCAGGGCGGTGGCGTGAAACTCTGGCAGCGCGGAGGAAGGAGAGGAAGCGCACACCATGCCGCACCGTGTGAAAATGGATGTGGACGCGATGCAGGGCGGTGGCGTGAAGCTCTGGCAGCGCGGAGGAGAGAGCATGGGCCGATGTGATTCTACGCTTCTGGTACGGTAGGTTTGCGTCGTGTCGACCATCGGCGACCCCGCCGCGGGCGTTCAAGGTTGAACGCCGCCAGTGGCCCAGAATCGGCCTATATGGAACGATCGGGCGATCGAAAAGCCGCCGATCGTTCAAGGTTGAACGATCCACGCGGTGTCAAAACCCAACGCCGGGGTCGTCACGACACGAACTTGCCGTAGGTGCGTTCACGGGCCTGCCAGGGTCGCTGGCCCGCGGGCCTGCCGGACCACGTCGAAGAGCATTGAAACATGGGTGGATTTGCACGCAGTGATCGCAAGAGGGCGAGGAGGAGGAGGAGGAGGCGACGAAGGAGGAGGAGGAGGAGGAGGGCGAGGAGGAGGAGGAGGAGGCGACGAAGGAGGAGACGCGGAAGACGAGGAGCACGCGTAGGGCACGGCTAGACAGCTTTTTGATTCGCGGGTCGAGAGCGCACCCCTTCCGGTCGAAGGACACGGCAAAGCAGGAGACGGAGGAAGAAGGGATGCGGGGTGCAAAGGGGGAAGGACACGACGACGAGGAGGAAGACGCGCAGAGTGAATACGAGGAGGGGGGCGACACGGCGCGACGGTCCGGCTTGAGCCAGCGTGCAACCTTTTGTGGGCCGTGGTGTGGGGCTGCAGCCTGAAAAGGCAAGCGGCGAACGTAACGGTACAATCGTGTTACAATTCAGCAGGCGTTTGGGGTGCGTCTCGCCACCGCCTGCGGGCTGCGGGACGGAAGGTTCGTGGATGCTTGTGGTATTTTAGTGGAGCATCTGAAGCACTTCCTGGAGGCATGTTGGCATGTTGGAGTCTCTTCTTATGCCTCTCAGCAGCCTCTTGGAGCGTGCGTCGACGCATTTGGGTCCTGTTGGTCCTTCCTCTTCAGGGGCTCTTGGGGCCTCGCATGAGGCGGCTAGAGAGGCTGCCGGCGGGCTCTCGGGGCCACTTTGGGGGGGGGGGGCTCGACATGTCAATTCGGATTCCCCTTCTTGGGCTTTTCTTGGGGTTTTCTTGGGCGTCTTGGGAGGCCCTGGGGCTGGTTTGGGCCTCTAGGGGGTCTCTTGTGAGGCCCTGGGGCTGTCTTGGCGTCTTCGTGGGCCGTTTTAGTGCGAACTTAGGACGATCTTGGGAACCCCTTGGGCAGTCTTAGACGTTCTCAAGACGCAGAAGGCGAGTGCGCTGAAAGTTCACGCTTTCTACAAGGATGAGGACGAGTTTTGTTCCTCGGGGCCGCTGTTGGTGTCCGCGTTGGGCCCTGTTGGGGCGTCATTGAGGCCAAGTGGGCGGTCTGAAAACCAATTTGGTCAGTTATGATATCTCTTCGGTGTATTAGAGGCCAGCTGAGGTGGCATCTTTGGTGTCTTTGAAAGCACGGGGGGGTAGATCTGGAGGCATTCACCGGGACCGGCGGTTCATCCTGAGTCGTTTTTTCAAGGTCCCGGGGCCCGCCGAGGGCCTCCAGAGGTAGAAAATGGCAGCAAATGTCCCGTCGTGCTTTTCGTAACTGTTTCATCACGCGAGGAGGCCTAGGTCCATCCATTGACAGCTCCACCCGTCCACTCCCGTCCTCGCGCCCCCTCCCCCGGCCCCTCCCCGGCGCGCCCCTCGGAGGCCTCCTGGCCGCGCCAGTCTCCATCGCCAGCCTCTCCTCCTGCGGGGGCGCAGCCACCGCCGGGTTCGCGGACGAGCTGCCCCTCGAGGGCGTGCAGGCCGAGGCCGCAGGAGGAGGAAGAGGAGGATCGAGGCAGATGGCCTCACAAGAACCTAAACGATGGAACTAATGTCCCCGACACGCAAGGCACAGCACACACACACAGCACACACAGAGCACACACACACACACACACACACACTCACACTCACACTCACACGCAGCGAGTCCCACGAGGTCGTCAGCTTCCATCGCGGGCTGCTCGCACGCCACCACGGCCCTCAGCGTCCTCATCACCCGGGCGCTGCGCAGAGCGGCTCCACAGGATGCCTCCAGCATCTTGCGGTCGCTGGCTGACGACGTGACGCTGCAGTGGACGGGGCAGCCCGGCCCGGGCGGCCGCGCCCCGGCCCAGACCACGGAGGGGGCCCTCCAGGACCGGACGCCCCTCCACCTCCGCGTGCGGCTGCCCGAGTCGGGCCCCGTGGCCGCCGACCAGAGGGCCGCGCAGATCTCTCGGGGAGCGGCGCGGGCACTGCGCATCCCCGGGAGGGCGTGGGCGCGGCGCCCGGGCCACGAGGCGCTCGGGGCCCGCCCCCCCCAGCGCGCGGGGGGCGGTGGGCGACTGCGGGCCCTCCAGGCGCGCAGAGGCGGCGGCCCGCCGTGCCTGCGCCGGGCGGCCGGGCGGCGCGCGGCGCGGCTCCAGACCGCGGGGCCCGCTCGGGCCGTGGGGCGTGGCGCTGGCGTCGGCGGCGTCGTCGAGGGCGGGCTGAAGGAGCTCCGCGCGTCGGCGGGAGTGCTGGCAGGGCATCGCCCGTGCTCCAGCCTAACGGGCACGCTCATGGCGCAGTCTTCGCCGCCGGGTACGACGCCCCGTTGCTCGCCATCGCCACCGAGCTTGTGGGTCGATGTGCCGGCTGGTGGTGGGAGGGTCGGGCCAGCCCGTCGGATATGCAGCACGCTTGGAGCCGCGCCCACGCCGAGCTGCAGAAGGACCCATCCTGGGCGCGCGTGCGAGGGCCCATGGCTGCGGTGTGCCTCTCCCTCCGTCGGGTCAACTGGACGATGCAGGCTGCCCATGTCCTGGTCGACGACCCAGGTTGCGCTGTCTCCTTGATAGACACGGCTCCGGGAGACATCCAGGGCGCCATCCGCGGGAGCATCCAAAGCTGGCAGTACAGGTAGCTGTCCCAGAGCTTGCCAGAGGCGAATGGTGAGCTGCTCCGGCCGCAGGCCATCGACGCGTGCTTCCGGGGCCCGCGCGGGGTGAAGGGGCCGAAGGCACAGGGCGCGTTGCAGTGCCTCTGGGCAGGAGGCATGTGGCCGCGGGCCAGGAAGTTTGCCCACGGCATGGTGCCCACGTGCATCTGCCAGGCGTGTGGACAAGGCCCTGAAACGCTGGGCCACCGATGGTACGCCTGTTGTGACCTGGAGCGCACCATCGACGAGGAGAAGGAGGCCATCCCCGAGAAGTTGGCGGCTACGCGCGCCAGCGTCATCAAGCACGCGGATACGGACCACTGGGACTCGTTGCCGCTAGCTTACGGTCTCCCTATCTTGCCGCGCGCCGACGAGCTGCCTGCGATGCCTCGCGGCGGCACGTTCTTCGAGTGGGGCGACCCCTCCAGACCATGGCGCGAGTGCATCTACACGGACGGCTCGGCCTGGGCCAATGATGTCGAGGAGGTGCGCCAGTGCGGCTGGGCGATCGTGTGCATCGACGCACAGGGCTGCCCAGTGCGGGCCCAGTTCGGCAGTCTTCCGGTGCGGTGGCAGACCACGGGACGAGCAGAGCGGTACGCTGGCCTCCAAGCCACTGACTTGCAGGGCTTCGCTGAGGAGGGCAACGCGTGGGACCCCCAGGCCGCGGGTTCCACGTCGGGCGTGCGCCTCGGCTTTCGACGGGCACGGCCGAGCGACGTGCGCGACCGCAGGTTGCCCGGGGGAGGCGCCCGACTCAGTCGGGCACCTTTGGCAGCTGCGCGACGCGGCGCGCAGCCGAGGCAGCGAGTTCTGCGGCGCTGCCCCCAACGCAGCGCCAGTTGCCGAGGAGCAGCCGCACATGGCACGAACAAGCGTAATAAAACAACGAGTGTGATAGAATACCAACTGTGATCAAACAAGTTGTTCATGACACTTGTGCTTTCGTCACACTTGTGTTTGTGTATCACATGTTTGTTTTCCGTCACGCGTGTGCTGTATCACACTTTTGTTGTCACACTTGTGAGGAGCAGCAGCCCGTGACACCAGTGTGTCCTCCTGCGTCCCAGTTCGGGTTCCGCGCCCGCGTGACCTCCCCCCCTTGCAGGCCAGGAGGGCCGGCGAGGGCGCCGCGCGGCTGTCCGCGGCGAGGAGGGCGGCGCGCGCCTCCGAGGCGCGCCGCCGCGCGGCCAGGGGCATCCTGCCAGGGGCAACGTTCGGGGTGCTGCTGGAATCGGAGCGAAAGAAGGACGCACAGGTGCCGGAATCTGGTGCCTCGCTTGGGTTCCTCGGGTGCCCTGGTCCTGTTCCTTGCTTTGGCTCCTCGGGCTCCTTGGTCCATGGTCTTGTTCGTCGGCTTCTCGGGCATTGCGAAGCAATGCTAAGCAGCAGTGCCAAGTACTGCGCCCCTGCAGTAGGAAGCTTTCCCCTCATTAGGGTCGCGCCCGCGTCAACGAGGCTGAATTCGCATTGGTGTCGAGAGCGTTCGTGGAGTACACGCATGGCGCGGGCGGTCGTGGCACTCGGCTGGTCTCGTGGACGGGGAGGCCGTGTGCCCCTGGCCCAGGGTGCCCCCAGGATTTCCAGGGAAGCGCCCACGGCCTCCAGAGCCAGGGCACCCCGCACGAGGCCCAGGGTGCCAGGGAGGCCATTAGCCTTCAGCACCCCCAGGGGTATATGCTCAGGTGGAGACGACAAGGCTCGAGGCTCGAGGCTTTCGGGCGCTTTCGCTGGTGCCCGGCTGCTTTCTAGCCTCGGGGCATACTCTCCAGCAGCTGCGCCTCGCCGAGGGCGCTCCAGGGGTGCCCGGTTCGTCCCGCACGGCCGCCAGGGAGCCGGGCATGGGCTCCCAGGGAACGCATCGACCGGCAATCGCCCACTGATCGCCCATGGGGACCGATAGCGCACCCCGCCCCGGGCACGGCCGGATTCGCTGTCGGGGGCCTATTGAAAACCGATCGGTGACGTGTCACCGATCCCAGGTCGATGCGTCCCCCCTTTTGAGCAGGTCCCCCCGTACTCCAGACTTCGTAATAAAAGGGAGGGGGTCTGGACCCTCCAAGACAAGCCATTTCAGACCTCCCCAGTGGGAGAACACTCCAAAACATCGTCCCCAGACCCCCCCAGGCCCTCCGAGATAGCCGGGAAGAGAACCCCCCCCAAAAAAATTAGACCCCCCTTCCTTTATTACGAAATCTGGAGTAACGTTGCCCCTCCTCTTGGGCTGGGGGAGGACGCAGCGGGGGACGCACACAGGCTCGATCGAGGCGCGCCCGAGGCTCGGTCCGCCGGGGCTCGGTGTTCGCCGGGCGAGCCGAGGCCTGGGCGGAGCGAGGCCGCTCCGCTGGGGAAGGGGGGTGAGGAGGAGGAGGAGGAGGAGGAGGAGGAGGAGGAGGAGGAGGAGGAGGAGGAGGAGGAGGAGGAGGAGGGAGGAGGAGGGGGAGGAGGAGGAGGAGGAGGAGGGGGAGGAGGAGGAGAGGAGGAGGAGGAGGAGGAGGAGGAGGAGGAGGAGGAGGGGAGAGAGGAGGAGGAGGAGGAGGAGGAGGAGGAGGAGGAGGAGGAGGAGGAGGAGGAGGAGGAGGAGGAGGGAGGGGGGGGGGTGCAGAGGGGGCCGAGAGCTCGGTCGTCCTGGGCCAAGCTGTCAGGAGGGCCGGCTTTTCTCGGTGCGGGCCCCCCTTTGCCGCCCTGGGCAGGTGGACCGGGAGAACACGACGCTCAGAGGCGAAGCCCACAGGAGCGGCCGGGTCGAGAGGTCGAGCGCCCCACGCACTGTGTCAAGGGACGTGTTCTATCCCTTGGCGATAACGGACGTTGTCAACGGGGGTGCATGGGGGGAGGATGGGCCAGTCACGTCACGATTCTTGCCGGCGCCGTTTGGGGCCGCACGGCGCCAGCGGGAATCGTGACGAGACCAGAGGGGGAGACGGGGGGGGGACGGGGCCAGTAACGAGCGTTATCGCGAATACGTTCAAAATGATTCTGGGCTCTGGAGGTCTTGGGTGGGAAGAAAGGAAGCAGTCCAGGGAAGTGGGGAGGGACGAGACGAGGGGGGCGATGGGATGAGGAGGGCGTTTTGGATAAGCAGTATTCTTCTCCTGGCTCTCGACAAGGCAAGGGCACCCCTGAGAAGCGACACTGCCGCCTGGGCCGCGAGGCCCTACCAAGGCCAGGAAAGTTCCCAGAGGCCCCACCTGCCACGGCCAGGGAAAGTTCCCCAAAATCGCGAAGCAGGCACATCGTCTCCGCCACTGCCGCCGTGTGAGGGGGGGTATCGACGTGGCCCGTTGGGGGAGACCTGGCCCCAGCGAGAGCTGGGCAGCCACCAGAGGGGCTAAGGGGCTGGGCACACCGAGGGGGCGGAGGCCGCACTCATGCTGGCCACCCCTTGAGCGCGGGCTTGTCCTGAGGGGTCTGGAGGTGCGCTGAGGCACGGGAGTTTGAAGGTGCGCTTGGCAGTGAGGGTCAACGAAAACCCGGGGAAGAGGAGGGGGAGATGAGGAGGACGGAATAGGAGGTCGTTGAGCAGCAGCAGCAGGAGCAGAAACATGATGGAATAACAAACGAACGAATTGTATGCAAATCAGCCACAGTGGCCGGACCTTGATAGCGCGTGGGCGCCTGGGCAGACTGGGCAAACATTTTTAAATGGCATGCGACACAGAGGCATCCGAAAGACGGAACCCACATCGGGGGAATGACCACGCTGACCAAGACCAATCTGCCGCGGGGTTACGCAAGACAGCTCACGCCACACAGCTTGCACCTCATAACTTGCATCTCCAAATCACACCGCCTAGATTACGCCAAATTGCTTTCACTGCTTATGAAGGTTCCATCTCCATCGCTCACCTCTCATAGCTTGCACGACACAGCTTGCCACATAGCTCTACCGCATAGCGTTCACCTTTACAGTGCAATGAAGCAATGTTTGGGGTCCACGCTGGCTAACACTTCTCATTCGTCTGTATAGTACTATTATTCCTCATGTCTCGTCCTTCGTTCTCCCTCCCCTTTCCTTGTTTAATGGTCTTCGGCCTATCCCGCCACCGTGCCTGGGTTGTGGGGATGAAGCATTTCGGATGTTCGTTGGGATCTCGTGGGAGGCTTCTCGGAGGCCTCTTGGAGGCAGTTCGAACGCCTCTTGGGGGCCGTTCGGGGGCCTCTCGAGGCCTCTTGAGGCCTCTTGGGGTCCTCTTGGGGGCCTCTTGGAACCTCCTGGGAGCCTCGTGGGGCCCCCTCGGGGCCTCTTGGGGCGGGGGGCTCGGATTTTCGATTCGTGCTTCCTTGTCGGGGCACCTTTTGGGGCCCTCTTGGGCCGTTTTGGGCGCCTAGTGGGGTTTCTCGGGGGGGCCCTCTTGGGCCGTTTTGTTCTTGGGCGCCTCTTGGACCGTCTCGGGGCGGTCTTGGGGACATCGAGGGCCGTCTGCGAGTGTCGGGGAGCCGAAAAGGCGAGAACGCCAAAGTCCTTCAAGAACCAACGGAATCTTCCTGATGTTGCCCTTTTTGGGGCCTTCTTGGAGACCAATCGTTCGGCGACTCGGTGCCCTCTTGGACCGTCCTGGGGGTGTCTTGGGGCTCTCTGGGCCCGTCTTGGAGCCCTCCTGGGCCCGAAAGAGTCACGCGCCACGCCGCCACGGGCAGCGGCGAGCCCCGAGATAGTTGGCAATGTGGGCTCCGGGCCCGTAAGATGCAGAGGCGCACGACGAGGCAAGATAACGCACGCTACAGTTGCTGAGATGCACATCGCGCCTATCGACGATGCTCTGAAGTCGCCCCAGCTCGTCTGCACTATGCTTCAAGTTGACCTCTTCCGGTTGCCCCGCAACAGGAGGTTGACACAACGTAGCGTCGAATGCTCCGGACGACGCTTGGCATCGGAAGACAACGCGCGGAACATATTTATCAGGCAATCAACGACGGCGCACTTTCTCCGTCGGGAATGCACACTCTGTTTTTGTTGTTGTTGTTGTTGTTGTTGTTGTTGTTGTTGTTGTTGTTGGTGTTGTTGGTGTTGTTGGTGTTGAACTCTCATTTCTGAAAAATAATTATTGTTGATCCCCCCGTCCAGTGCACATTATTTTTTTCGATTGAACTGCCCTTCCCGGGGGTCGCACCCTGTTTTTTTTTTTTCAGGGGGGTCAAACTGTGTTGTTGGCCCCCGGTTTACAAGAACAACGGCTCCCGCCTGATATTTCCCCACACTGTATTGAAGAATCGCGCTTTCGCTTGGGACTTCTTTGCAATTTGCCACCGGATCGCGGCTCCCGCTTGATACTTCTTCGGAATTATTGAAGAATCGCGCTCTCGCTTGGGACTTCCTTGCAACTAACTTACCACCGAATCGCGGCTCCTGCCTGATATTTCTTCAATTTTTTAAAATGCCGCTCCTCGACACTCAGGAATCGCGCTCCCGCTACAGATTGCTTGGCGCTGCAAGCAGGATCTACGCTTCAACGACCCGCCCGCTCGACCCGCCCGTCTGGGCCTGCCCGCCCGACCAGCCCGTTAGAAACTGCAGTTGCCGCTCGCTGCCCGTCGCCCGCCTTCGATGCCCCTCGCTGCCCGTACTGGTTCTGCGGTCGCCTTCGCTCGCTGCCCTTCGAGGCCCCGTTGCTGCCCTCAGTGGCCCCGCCGCTGCCCATTGTGGCTCCGCATTATATGCCCTTCGTGGCCCCCGCTCGCAGTCGCCCGTCGTGGCACCATACGCGTGCCCTTCGTAGCCCCGCTGTCGCCCTTCGTCCCTTCGTGGCCCTCTCGCTGCCCTTCGTGCCCCCTTTGCTGCCCTCAGTGGCCTCCTGTCGCCCGTTCTGGCTCCATATACGAATGCCCTTCGTGGCCCCCGCTCGTTCGCGCCCGTCGTGCCCCCATCTGCATGTCCTTCGTGGCCCCGCTGTCGCTCTTCGTGGCCTCCTCTCTGCCCTTCGTGGCCCCGTTTCTGCCCTCAGCGGCTCCGTCTCTGCCCAATGTGGCCCCGGATTAATTCCCTTTCGTGGCCCCCGCTCGCAGTCGCCCGTCGTGGCACCATTCGCGTGCCCTTCGTAGCCCCGCTGTCGCCATTCGTGGCCCTCTCGCTGCCCTTCGTGCCCCCTTTGCTGCCCTCAGTGGCCTCCTGTCGCCCGTTCTGGCTCCATATACGAATGCCCTTCGTGGCCCCCGCTCGTTCGCGCCCGTCGTGCCCCCATCTGCATGTCATTCGTGGCCCCGCTGTCGCTCTTCGTGGCCCCCTCTCTGCCCTTCGTGGCCCCGTTTCTGCCCTCAGCGGTTCCGTCGCTGCCCTCTGCGGCCCCCTATACGTATGCCCTTCGGGGCCCCCGCTCGTTCGCGCCCGTCGTGGCCCGCGCCAGCAACGACTCCCGCCTGCGTTCCCGCAGGTTTGTGGAGCCTCTGGAACTGCTCGGCGGTCATGGGGGCCATTCCGAGGCCCCCCAAAGGTCATAGGAGGTTTCCGGGTGCCTTCCAATCCCCCCGCGCGTTGTTTCCGCACCGGTCTCCTCTCGTATCCACCTGCCCCTACTTTTCAACGTTTTTTTTCTTCCGTCCTTTCTACACTTCCCCGTTTATCTTCATTCTCATGTCGTTCGTACTCCATTGTGCTATTCCTCAGTTCTGCGCATTCCGCCGACTTCTCCACAGGCCACCCCATTCCCCCCCAACAATGTCCACCCTCTCCCGCTCGCATTCCGCATTTCTCACACAGTATTTCCAGCCCCATCCTCCAGATTCCTCCGTGCGCCCCCCGCTCCTCCGCACTCCTCCCGGCTTCTCTTGTCCAGTCGTTGCCGCTCCTCCTCCTGAGACCCTACTCTTGTCCACTCCATCCCAATCCACTCCAAATCCCCGCGCTCCTTTCGACACGGTTACAGTTCTCATTCTCTTTCCGCCCCACTCTCCCAGCGTCCCTTTTTTTCTATGGTTCCGCGACATTTGTTTCTGACACCAGTTCGAAGCTGCGCGTACCCCCGCGGGGGTCACGATATGTTCTTTAAAAGGGGGTGGTACGTGGCGCTGTTTATGGCGCGACCCATGGCGAAGCTTATTGCTAACCTGTATTAGAGTGGCTGGCGCAAACCATAGCGCAAGCTGGATCGCCACCCACAGCGCAAATCATTGTCCTCCCGCCTTCGTGCCCCTCCCCCCCCTTCCTCCGACCCCTTTTTTCGTCTTCGTTCCCCCCCGTCATCTGTTGCCCTTCGTTTTCAAGGGCTTCACCAGCCACGCGTGGCAGGGAATGCATCTACCCCCCAAAAGGGGGTACGATCGAAAACGAAGAGGGCGGGTATCCAGGGTTTGGGATGTGCATATTGAATGACACGCGAGCAGATAAGAGCGAACAGTTGTAACATTATTGTTGTTGTGAATTATGCAGGTTGGATGATACGAGCCGCAAGTAGTGTCGTCAATCATATGGCACTTGTACTATCGACCGTTGGCGCTTTGCGTGGAGGAGAAGAATCTGGCGCTACACATTCGGAGAGTCGCCGCTGTGCCTGCAGATCGGTGGGCCAGAAAGCTGTCACCTGGTGCGCGGCAGATGACCCCCGATCACGAGACCGTCAACAACGACGCTCAGAGAGAAGAGGCGGGCAGATGAAGTCGCAGAGTTCCAGGGGCATGCTGAACACGATGTGGACACCACGAAGTGGATGGACACGGGGAAAAGACCCCGCGCCCCCGGGGCGACTTGGAGGACGAGCTTTGCTCTCACGCCAACGTCATCAGGTGAAAGGGGCTGCAGCCCCAGCGCGCCGCCCTGATCGGCCCGACCTCATTGCTTGGTCCGCGAGCTGCGCGTCCTTCCTTCCGTCCTGAAAAAAGGATAACGACAACTGACATAAACTTATCAACTCGGAAGTCCGCGCGGATTTCTCGGATCCGCGTTGGCGGCGGCGCCGGCGCCCTTGGCGGCGCCCCCGGCGCCGATCCCAAAAATCCGCGCGGACTTCCGAGTTTTCATGTTTATGCCATGTTTCGCCCCCCGGGAAAACCCCTACGTTTGGCGGCGCGTCGGCCCAGCAGTCGCCCCTGGCGCGCCGTGGAAACGGTGGCCGTCGGCCCGGTGTCCCTGGAGGCGCCTGGGGTCGATTGCGTGGGCGGGCGGCCGCCGTCTGGCCGCGCGTGCCGCCGCGGGACGCTGCAGTTGAAGCATCGAGTGGTGCTGTTTGGCAGGAGCGAAGCTTCAAGGGCGTAAAAGACGCCCCTGCCCTGGTTTACGATGCGTTGTGCGCTGAGCCTCCTGTGGGCTGACAGGGTGGACCCTGCACATCGCGCGTGTCGCGCGGCGAAAGAGCGGCTTTGTGGCCTTCTGGGAGCTCCCCAGGAGGTTTACAGACCACGCACATATTACTCCGGGGGAGGATGTTTTCGCATGCCTCAACAGCTCGCCATCCACTCCGCCGCCTTCGGCACCTTCTCCTCACGTTCCCGCGGGGGGAAGAGGCCTGGGAGTGCCCACTGGCCGCGTGCAGTGGGCGCTATGGGTGGCGAAATGGTTCGGTCCGCCTTTCTCTCCCGCGTCCACGCCGTGCTTTGCAAAACGTCCAAAAGCGTCCTCCTCCTCCTCCTTTTTCCCCTCCTCCACTTTCTCCATCCTTTTCCTCCTCCTCCTCGTCCTCCTGCTCCTCGTCCTCCTCGAGGAGGTCCTCCTCCTCCTCTTTCTCCATCCTTTTCCTCCTCCTCCTCCTCCTCCTCGTCCTCCTCGAGGAGGTCCTCCTCCTCCTCCTCCTCCTCCTCCTCCTCCTCCTCCTCCTCCTCCTCCTCCTTCTTTTCCCCCTCTCGCCTTCTGGCGCGGCCGGGGGGGCCGGTGGCGCAGGCCGTGGTGCGCGCGCTGGCCCCGGGCCAGCTGCTGGAGTTGTGGGGCGCCGGGGCGGACGAGGAGGCGGCTCGCGCGGCCCGGCCTGGGCTCGGCGGAGAGCGGCCGCAGTGAGGCCCACGGTGGAGGGTTTCTCCGAAGGGCTTAGGCGACCAGTCCTCCTCCTCCTCCTCCCCCTCCTCATCATCCCTCCTCCTCCTCCTCCTCCTCCTCCTCCTCCTCTCTCCTCCTCCTCTCTCCTCCTCGCCTCCTCCTCCCCCCTCCTCTCCTCCTCCTCCTCCCCCTCCTCCTCCTCCCTCCTCCTCCTCCTCCTACTCTCCTCCTCCTCCTCCTCCTTCCTCCTCCTCCTCCTTCTCCTCTTCCTCCTCCTCCTCCTCCTCCTTCTTCTCCTCCTCCTCCTCCTCCTCCTCCTCCTCCTCGGGTCGCATACGGCCCCGGGGGAAACCGTGCACCCACATGTCCACAGCAGAAGAGTTGGCGGCGAAATCCGAACAAGGTCGTCGCTGATCCAACATTTGCGGGGCCAGGAGCATATCCATTATGCTATGTTTTCTTTGTCCACCACTCTGTGGCACATTGGCATTGGCGGCAATGGAGAGGTTAGGGGAGTAGCCGTCATTGGTGCATGTTGATTTCCCCCAGAGCGTTCCAAAACCCTGTCAGACCGTTCGGGATCGCTCCGAAGCGGCCGCGGCGCCCGATCTGATCTTCCAGGCCCCGCCAGCGCCCAGAGATCGCCGATTGAGCGAAAAACGTACCCGTATCCACGACCTCGCGGACCGCGACCCCGCGGACACATGGCGTTTTTTCGCGCATGCCCCGCGCGGGACGCAACTTCGTGCGACCGCGTGCCCGCGGGCTCGCGGCCCGGCATCCAGACCGCGAGGGCGCGGATACGGACATGTTCACCCTCCGTGAGGGGGGTGCTAGAAATGCTGGCCCAGGGTGCCCCCAGGATTGTCAAGAAGGCCCCCCGCGGCCTGCGCAGCACCCCAACCCGAGGCCCAGAGGGCCCCCCAAAAATTCAGCGAACAGCCAGGGGGCACCGTGGGCCACCGACGACGGGACCCCCAAGGCCGCCCTCCTCCTGCCTTCGCCTCGCGCGCGCCGCTCGGCGCCGCCCTCGGGGGCCGCTTCGGAGTGAAGGCCGTCAGGCGCCCCCAGTGGAGGTCTGCCGATGTCAGGGGAGTGGCAGTGCGTGGGGCGTCGCACAGAGAGCGCCCCAGCGGTCGCTCAGGCGGCGCTCAAGAGGCGCCCACGGAGTAGCCTGGTGCGCCTTCGCACCGAGCGCCAGCTTCATGTCGGGCCTGTTCCTCTACAGGGAGAAGATTCAAAACTGGTCCAAAAATGATATGGGAACTCTCTTTGGGGAACATCTTTTGACCATTTTGGAGTAGTGTTCTAGATTTCTCCTTTCCCTCGAAAATCCCCCCTGTAGGGGGACGGGCCCCACGGAACGCCAGCTCCGGCGGCGCCCCCGGAGGGGGTCGCGGTGCAGAGACCGCTCGGGGGGGGGGGGGGGCGGCCGGCGAGGCCGGCCGGCGCCGGAGATCCCCCCCGCGCCGCGGGTCGGCACGGCGCGCCCGCCGCTCGGAGGGGGCAGGCTCGTCGGCCAAGGAGCCATTGCCTCTCCTCCTCCTCCTCCTCCCTCCTCCCCTCCTCCCCCTCCTCCTCCTCCTCCTCCTCCTCCTCCTCCTCCTCCCCTCCTCCTCCTCTCCTCTCCTCCTCCTCCTCCTCCTCCCCCTCCCCCCCCCCCCCCCTCCCCCTCCCCCTCCCCGAGGGGGGTCTCATTTCGGGGGGGGTCTCTTCCGGGCCATCTTGGAGGGCCTGGGGGGGGTTTGGGGGCGATGTTTTGGAGGGTTCTCCCACGGGGGAGGTCTAAAAAATGGCTTGTCTTGGAGGGTCCAGACCCCCTCCCTTTTATTACGAGATCTGGAGTAGGTTGCATCTTCGGGGGACCTCGCCTGTCCCCAAAATTGGTGTCTTTTCTTGTGCCCGACGTGGGCTCGAGGCGGACTCGGCGCGAGTTTTGCGCGGGTTCGACGCGGATTTGACACGGATTCGACACGGGGTCCGACGAGTCCGACATGGATTCGACACAGATTCGACGCGGATAGGGTCGCGACGGGACAGGCAAGGTCCCCCGAGGATGCAACATAAGAGCCACGCCGTGCGCCGGCCGCGCGCAGAGGGGGGCAGGGGGGGGGGAGGAGATCAGAGGAGGAAAAGGTACCCCTATTTGGGCCTCCTATTAGGATCAGGGGAAAAGAGATCAGGGGAGGGAGGAGATCAGAGGAGGATATTTCTACCCTTCCCTCGTTCTCCCCTTTTTGGGCCTCCCAGGCGGCCCTCGTCGCCACCGCTGGATTCGTCTCGAAATCCTGGTCAGAACGCGCCCCAAGAGAGATCCAGGGAGTAGCGGACAAAAAAGTGGAACCCCTTCGTCTGCGGCCCCGCATGCGCTCCCCCCCCTCCTCCCCCCAATTTCAAGGTTGGGTTCGGCCTCTCGGAGGCCTTGGGGGTTCCACTTTTGTTGTCCTCTCACGCCTGTACTGCCAAATGCTTGAGGCCAACTTTGAAATTGGGGGGAGGGGAGGGGGGCGTGTTGTCAAAGGTTCCACTTTTTTGTCCATCTACGGGAGGAGGGGGGGAGGCTTCTGAGAAGTACCCCTGCTTCTCAGCAGGCGCGGGCCTCACCTGTAGATGCAAGTCGGGTATAGCCAGGGCCCCGGGTGAGGGTAACCGGTTAGTAGTAGGGCCCCGGAGCCCCTAGATTGGCGCCAGAATCGCTAAACCAGGTCTGCCGTAGCTGGTGTTATCCCTGGTGACGGCAGTTCCGGTCAGTGTAACGGGGCGGGGGGGGGGGGGGCGCCCCCCAGTACACATCACGAAGCCAGGTCCCACGAAACCCAGTTCTGCCAACGCCCGAGTACGGCCTTGCGCAGTGCGAGAGGCCGTCTCCTCCTGAGGAGCCGCCCCCCTTCCCCCGTACCCCTTCGTGCGCGCCGCCGAGTGCGGTCGGCCAGGGAGCTATGGGTCGGGCTTGGGCTCGGGCTTGTCCTCGGGCGCGGGCTCGGGCGGGGGCCGGCGGAGGAGCTCGGCGCCCGTGCGCGTAGCTCCCTGGCCGACCAGACGGTCTGGCGTATGCTCCGATGCCTTGCATGTCGGGCGTGGGACGTTCCCGTGCGGGGCGAGCGCCAGGCCGCTCTGCGGAAGAGGAGGAGGAGGAGGAGGAGGAGGAGGAGGAGGAGGAGGAGGAGGAGGAGATGGAGGGAGGAGGAGGAGGAGGAGGAGGAGGAGGAGGAGGAGGAGGAGGAGGAGGAGGAGGAGGAGGAGGAGGGAGGGGGAGGAGGGCCGAAGGGCGATGCCGCCCCACGGCATCCAGTGGTCGGGGAGGTTCTCCGCCGTCTGGTAACGGGTTGCGAGAGGCGCGCTGCGTCGGTGGCGGCGAAAGCTCGGGCTGCGTGAGCACACTCCAGGGGCTGAGCCAGGACTCCCGCGAGTTGCGGTCGATGCTCCTCGACGCCCCGCAGCCGGTCTTCTCGTCCTCTCCCTCGCGGAGTAATTGATGAACAGCAGTACGTTCCGTAGGTTTTCTCTCCCACGTGGAGCAAGGCGACCCCAGGTGATCATGGATCTGCTCAATTGTGGCGGGACCTCCAGCGTGAGCAGTAGCAGGCGAAGCCCAACCAGGCATCACAGATGCCCCTCATCACTCAGAAGTTTGATCGCCCAAGCCCCTTCCAGTGAGTACGTGACTCATGCGGCGGATTCGGATTTCCTCTCGCCACGTTCAAGGGGACACAGAATGCGCATGACGATCTCCGTGGTTGGGGGAATGGAGCGATGATAATGGTTGGCCTCGACGTTCCACCTGGAAACTATTCAAGGATGGAGTCCTGCGCGGACCAAATCGAGCAGGACTTCGGCACCATGCTTTAGGCACCCAGATCAGAGGCAACGTAAGATGGCCGCGAATAGTCATGATGCCGGACTTCTTGTGCGCCGTCGGCATGACTTCACGTCGCGCGTGCAGAGTGGTGTCCCATGGACCACATGCGCCGCAGTGAGTGCCTTTTCTGGACTTCAGGAGGAGGAGGAGGAGGAGGAGGAGAAGGAGGAGGAGGAGGAGGGGGGGAATGAACATGAATGATGTGAGGATGACGATGAGGACGTGATGAAGGAGGAGGAGTAGGAGGAGGACGACGAGGATGAGGAACTGATGCGGGCAATCAGAAGAACAGTGCTTTTGTCGGCGTCTTGCGCCGCTCATCTCCGTCATCGATCTCCCCAGTCGTCCAGAGAGTGGCCCCCTCGCCTTCGTCCATCTTCCTCCTTCCTCCGCCTACTCCTTATCCTCCCCGCCCCTCCTCCTCAACTGCGTCGCGCGCCGCGCAGCCGCACTGCTTCTCTGCCCCTGGGGGGGTCGCCGCCGGGAGGCCGTGGCTATTCTCGCTCGAGCCTTGCGGTCGGAGTGGGACAGCTGGGTGCGGCTCCCAGCACACCGGCGGCTCCGAGTCGGCCTCGCCAGAACATGTGGCGCGTTCCAAGTAGTGCCCTGCCCTCGAGGACCGAAGGAGTTGTCATCTCTTCCGCGGCGGAAGATCGGCGGAGGTCAAACGAGGCCGCACTCGCTGGCGGAAGCCGGCGGAAGCTCGGCGGGAGGCGGCGGAAGTGAAACATGCGCCCGCAAGAGATGAAAACGTTGTTGGGTTCAGGGTTTCCGAAGTTGCCTATATAAGGCGTTCCAAGTATGGCCTGGCATTCGCTGGTTCGGGGATCGAAGGAGTTGACATCTCGTTCTCGGCGGAAGGCGGCGGAGGGTCGGCGGAAGTAAAGGGAGGGCGCCTCCATCGGCGGAAGCCGGCGCACGGGCGGCGGAAGGCAGCGCCAAAGGCAAAAAGTGCACCCCCGGAGGTGACAGCACTGTGGGGTAAGAGCCTTGTGGTCGGGGTTTTCGGAATCCGCCGTATACGTACATGGGAGAAGCTGACGCTGGGTCCCCGCGCCGGCCCCCGCCCACTTCCACACGGGTGGTCCCCCTCCCCCTCCTCCCGGCGGCACCGTGGTGGGCCCCCAGAGCGTCCCAGACGGCTCACGTGCTCCCCTCAACCAGATGTCCCAACAGGACTTCGAGGCGACTCCAGGGGCCCATGGGGCCAAGACCGCAACCAGAGGTCTGAAAGTGTCCCCAGAGAGGGACCCCCAGCGCAGCGACAATGTTCAAAACGAAGTGAGTGCAATACTGCATACCGTTTAGTTCGTGCCTCGAGGACTCCTAGTGGTCCCAGATGTCTCCACGAGCGCCTCGGAGGCGCCCAAGAGGCACCACGAGGCCCCCAAGGGACAGGAAGCATGCCCTCACGACGCGCCGAGGAGGCCCCCAGCAGACCCCCAAGACAGCCCGGACGGCACAACAAGGCCCTTCAGTTCCCATGGAGCTCCCCTCTGTACCCCGGAGGGGCCCCGAAGAGGCCCCAAGAGGCCCCAAAGCAGCCGCCAGGAGGCCTCCCAAGGACACCAACAGGCACTCAAGAGGTCACCTCTCAGGGCGCCAGCCCCGGCGAGGGCGGGGGACGGCGGTGACTCACGGCAGGCCCTCCCTCCTCATCGTCTTTCTCCTTCTCATTGTTCCTCCTTCCTCCTTCCTCCTCCTCCTCGCTCCGCATTGTCATCGTTCATACTCCTACAATATTATGCTTCTCCTTGATCCCTCCTCTCCCAGCTTCCTCCGTGCCTCCTTGTTACAAGAGGTCCCACGAGTGCGCTAAGGTCTCTGATGATTACTCCGTGCCTTCTTGCCTCCTTACTCCGTGCCTCCGTGCCTCCGTTACTAAGTCCTCTCCCAGCTTCCTCCGTGCCTCTTTTTTACAAGAGGTCCCTCTCAGCAAAGGCAGTGTGCACTCAGATGATTCTGGCAGCCTGGAAGACGGGCTCGGGAATCTTAATTTGTTCGGTTGTAACTCCACGGCTTCCCTGAGAGTTACCGTAGAGCGTCTACAGAGGCCCCAAGATGACCCTACGACGCCATCGCGCAGCTGCTGCCTAGAACTTGTGCGCGCGCGAAGCGCTTGCGATGAATCAGGTCTTCGTGCGGACCAGTGCATCGCTATCCAATGCCCACGTTTTCAGAGTCGCCCCTCTTACAAGGGGTAGTGCTAACAAACATCCGAAGGTTCGTGCGAGCGGGGAAGTATGTTGTGAGGTGTCATTCGGCCCATTCCGCCACCGTGCCCCATTGGGGGGCCTCTCTAGGGCCTCTCGGCGGCCTATTGGGGGCCTCAGCCTCTTGGGAGTCTCAAGGGGCCTTTTGAGGGTCAGCTGGCAGTCTCGGGGCCATCTGGGGGTGGAGGGCCCACCATCTCAGTCCGAGTCCCCATCTGTGGCTCCTCTTGGGGGCCTCTTGGGCCATCCATGTTGGCCCCAGAGCGCTCTTGACGGCCTCTTGAGCCGTCGTAATGTCTTCTTTCCCCCGCCGAATTGACGAGCGCGAAGCTCATGGAATAGCCAGTGGCCGCTCTGGTTGTTCAATGACGTCGGCTCACAGGACCTCCAAGACATCCCAATCTGTCCCCGAGAGGGCTCCAGCGGGAACCTCTGGAACCATCTTGGGGTACAGTTGAGGTTGAGGCCTCCAGCCACGCTGACGGCTGACGAAGCTTATGGAACAGTCAGCAGGACCCCGTTAAGAACACCAGAGAGTTCTGGAAATCTACGGCCTGGTGCTTTTAATGAGCATTTGCCATGCTCAACAGTACCGTCTCCGGGGGACCAGAGGACACTCTATTCAGTGCCTTCCTCGCGTGCGGCCTGGTGGCGGATCCATCTACACCCTGCCGCACTGGGGAGCTGAGAGTGGGAATTTTCCCATACCACATCTGCTGGCTCCCGAGGGCGAGAACATATCTTGAGGACGATGTGTGTATGAAGACCTCCAAGCGGCACAGCGGTTGCTGCTCGGACGTTCTCCTCCTTGTCCTCTCTGTCTCTCTCTCTCTCTCTCTCTCTCACGGCCTTTCCCCCACTCCCCCCCCACCCCACTCCACTCCTCCCCTGCCATGGGCCCTCCGTCATACGCCTGCTCCCCATCGTCTCTCGCCCGTGTTTGCATATGGTGCGGCGAGGGATCGGTTGTGCTTTGATGTGGTTCCCCCTCTTCCAGAATTATTTAATTGCTTCGCTCACTCCGCCGGCCCGAATTGTGCCATCGCAGGCGTTTGCCTGCGCGTTCGTGACCTCTTGGAGGCCTTTTGTGGGCCTCTTGGAGCCTCTCTTAGGGCCTCTTGGCGGTATTTCTTGGACGTCACGGTGGCCTCTTGGGGGTCTCTTGGGAGTCTCTTAGGGCATCTCGGGGGGGCTCTTGGGGGCTTCTTGGGGGCCTCTTGGGACCTCCAGGGGTTTCTTCTGCGCCTAGAGCTCGAAATGTCCGTTCGGGTCCCTCGTCTGGGCCCGCTCATGGAGCCGCTCTTCGGCCATCTTGGGGGCCTCTGGGGCTGTGTCGGGGCCCTCTGGGGCCGTTTTGGGCGCTCTTTGAGGCCTCTTGGGCCGTGTTGGGGCGATCCTGGGAGCTTCTGAAGCCGTCTTGAAGCGCCGGTATGCCGAAAAGGCGAGAACGCCAAAAACCTTCAAAAACAATAAGACAATCAGCAAATCTGCCTCTGTGGGCCCTCTTGGGAGGTCTCTTGGCGGCCTCGTTGGGGCGTCTTGAAGGCGCTTTTTTGGTTTGTCTTGAGGCCATCTCTGACGTCTTGGATGCTAGTTGGAGCGCTCCTGGAGCGCTCTTGGGAGCCTGGCCGGGACCTGTCCAGGACCTGCCTGGGATCTTGCCAATACCTTGCCAGGGCCTTGCCGGGACTTGCCGGGACCTCGCCGGGGTATTTTTCGTCCGGGGACCCCCAGGGGCGGCCCCGCGCGCGCGAACTAAAACTATTGTAAACCAGTTACCGGAGATATTAGCACGCCCTTGACCCGTTGGGCCTGCGAATTGCATCTTTCGATGTCCGCGAGTAAGTTACATCCCTCTCGTAACCTCCGTGGCCCCGTCGCTATTTCCTTCATTCCCCATTCGTGCCGTCTGTGGCCACGGTCCGGCAGCGAGAGGGCGATAGTGGTGTTCCTTGTTTTTTTGTTTTTTTTTTTTTTTGTTCTCTCTCTCTCTCTCTCTCTCCTTCTGCTCCCTTTCTCACCATGTATCCGTATAGATGTGTATATTCAACTATATATATACAACTCTGTTCACTATCATGAACCAGTCTTTGGCGCTGACGATCCTCTCTCTCTCGCCCTCGCTCTCCTTCTCTCTCGCTCTCTCTCTCTCTCTCTCTCTCTTTCCCACCCTGAAAGATTCATAATGCAGCTCCTTCTCTCTCTCCCCTCCATCTCCTTCCATAGTGTTCTGGACCAGGCCCTGTCCGAGGGTGCCATCCGCCCATGACGCGCTCACAGAGGTCGGCATGGTGTCAGCCCGACATCGTCAGGCTCTCGAGGGATTGGTTCGCGGGCATTGGTGTGTGTTTGTGTGCAGAAAGGTGACTCTCAGATTGTGATTCAAGCCAGCCTCTCAGGCAACGGGGCATCACAGTCTCCGTCATTCGTACCAAAACGGACGTGCGTAGCATCCCCCTGTGCGCAACAGTTCAGACCCACCTCACTTCCGAGTTTTTTCCCACCGTGTTTCGGAATTACTATGCCACCGACGTTGCTGACGGTGTGCGGCCAGCCCACACTCTTGCTTATTCAGGACCTCGCTTGTCAACGGAAGGAGAAATGGCTAGCAGCAGTGACCCAGGCGTCGGCGGAGTACTACCGAATATTTGGCCCCTCGCTGTGGATGATGCACGAAACGCTTCCAGCACGAAGATGCACAGCGTCACGAGGAGGCCATAAACATGTGGATCGCGAGCGTCACGTTCGTGGAGAAGCACGGCCACGCAGCGGAGTCGACGTCCAGTTCGGGCTCGAGATGGGCCCGACCACGGACGAGGAGCTGGGGCGGCTACGATTCTTGATGCCACGGCCGACAGACCAATGTACAGCTCATCGGCGAGCTGAAGAGCTTGTGCGTCTCACCCTCCAGAAGGGCACTGGCCTCGCCTTGTGTGAGTCAGGTGCCACCCTTCGACAGTGGCTGTGGTCGCGACGTGACCGCCGACACGCGCGTGCGTTCATGTCTATTCTCCTGGCCATGATATGCGACTTTGTGGGCGGCACACCATCGTATGCCCGTCCCTTCAGAGGCGCGGCGCTGTGGAAAACGATTTTGCGTGGTCCTCGTCATGTCGGGTGTGCGCAGGCTCCGCCATGCCCTCTCCATGCCCACAGTCCTTCGATGGGCCCGCCGAGTGCATCTCATGTTACCGCCAGAGTGGAGAAGAAGGGGATTTGACTGGTCTGAACATATTGTCTTAACCGCCCTGTTGAGCGTTCGTAGACATAGTTGTGACACTCATAGAGCTGTGGCGTACGTTCTAGGACGTCATGCTTCACA